AAAAAACTTAGTATATCATAAAAGTAGATCTGAAAATGGAAGACACGTGTATCAGCGTTTTGAAAGTTTATATCGCAAAGTAACCTAAATACCAGGTAAAAATTGTTGGATTCCTTGCATTCTAGGTGTAAATATTACTCAGCAACATCATTGATAACAATACGAGAGTTATTTTTGTCGGAAATGCTAACCCTCAACTGGTCAACACAAATGAGTCTTTTTGGTCTTTTTTCAAAATATGGTCAAAAACTCCCTTTAAATGTATCGTCGCCAGTCAAAAGATTCTAAAAAATTATTTGTTATAAAATTTGACTTTAGCTCTCTCTCTCTCTCTCTCTCTGCATGGAATACATCAAAAATCTGTCCCTTAAAAATGCTAGTTTGGTTTTGACCGGTGGCATTGCCCCATGCTGTACTGTTAGTTATTTAAACAAGTTATAAAGTATCAGTCGGTTTTGCCGACAGATGTATAACCTTAGTCAATTTTCAATCATTTAAACTAAACTATTGACCTTAAATGGGGAGGTTCCAAGGATTGGGCCACTGATCTAAGTCTAACAATGATCTAATAAATAAAACGTGTCAAGTTTGGACTATAGCAACTTCTTCCTTAACTTTACATGAGATATGTGATCATTTTTGGAAAATGTTTGGAAGGAACTTGAAATTTTTCAAAAAAAAAAAATGAAGAATACCACCTAAATCAAAACCATTATATGGGACTATACGAATACGTGGACCCGCATACGAAACATTTTGTCATAGGCTGTAGTACCCATTACGAACTTCAAATACGAAATTAGAAACAATTCCGGTAAATAATGTCGCAAAAATCATGAAAATACCTAATATCGGGAGGTACCGTTATATGAGGGTTATACGAACACGTGGACATGCATGCGAAATACCAATTAAGATCTTCCAATACGAAATTTGAAATAATTCCGGTAAATAATGGGAAAATATGCATGTATGCAAAATTTTAGCCAACATCGCTAAATCGTCTTAGATTTTCACGCTGATCCAGAATATATATACTTTGTAGGATCTATGATGAATATTTCAAGGAGTTACAAACGGAGAATCGGATGTTTATTTCGCATTTTATGAGCGTTTCTGTTATTTATTTATTTATTTTTTTGAACATTTTCTGAGGTATCTAATACAAGGAGTGAGCCGATATATCCCATTTTCACACCAGATCTGGTAATTTTTGTTTTGAATTTAGTTTTTATACCCTACAACACTATGTGTTGGGGGTATTATAAGTTTGATTGGGCCAAAAATTATGTAACACCACGAAATATTGGTTTCCCATATAGGAAAGTATATATGGATCTTCCTAGCTCGCCAAGCTGAGTCGATCTAGCTATGTATGTCCGTCCGTCCGTCTGTCCGTCTGTCCGTCTGTCCATGTTAATTTGTAATCACTCTACTGGTCGCAATTATGGCCCGATCTTCACGAAATTTAGAATGGAGGTGGGGATAGGGTCAGAATAGAACCCTATTTCTTTTGGAGATGATCGCATAATATTTAGGGGTCGAAATGGACCAAAAACTGAAAAAATGTCGGATTTTGCAGTAGCTATACAGGTCGCAATTATAGACCAATCGACGGGGAACTTCGCATGTAGCTAGAGTTTAGGGCGGAGAAGAAGCCTACCAATTTGGGTGGTCATCGGATAATATTTAGCGGGTAAAATAGACCATATCTTTTGTGTTGAAAAAATTCAAAAATTTTCATTAAACCGCGAATATTTTAAATCCCGGCAAAATCACAAAGCCATGACAAGGTTACTTCTGATCTTTACATTGATGTTAACATCCAAAAAAAGGGATATATTGCAAAATATGTGCGATATATATATCTATCAAAGGAGATATGCTTGAAAGATCTCTTATATGTCGAGAACGGCTGAACTGATTTCGACAGTTCTCATTAATTCAGAATGGCCTCTTGGCAGGAAAGAAACAACGTCTAAAAAATCGCATAAAAATATCTCTCTAAAGATGAAAATATTGATTTTGTAAAATTTTCTCATTTTTTTCAATTTTGTCATATTTTTGGCATATTTTCATTTTGAATTAAACATTTGGTAATATTTCTACAGCTAACAAAACTAAGTAGTTAGGATATCATATACAGATCGCATTTATGGCCCGATCCTAACGAAATTTTGCATGGGGATCAGATGAGGGTCGGAATAGAAGCCTACTCTTTTTGGAGATGATCGCCATATATTTAGGGGTTGAAATGGACCAAAAAAAAAACCGCAAAATTGTCAGCAGGTCGTAGTTATTGCCCGATCCTCACGCACATTTGATTGGGGGTTACCGGGCATTGCAAAAGCCAAGCAGTTTTGGATGGTCATCGAAAAATATTCAATGTGTGAAATAGTTTGCCAACTTTTGTAGACAAAATACGAAAATGACCATTCCAGTGACTTTTTGGAGAATTCACAAGTACAGGATAGACGCACTTCTGACTATTTCGTTAACGCTGATTTCGTTGAAGAATATAGTCAAATGTCTGTATCTTATATAGATGCGTTTCAGTCAAAAACCAATAATAAATGTTAATCTTTTGCTACTTCTGAGAGATTATAGGTCTTTGGGAAATACTGGTTCCAGATCTAGGAAGACCATTTAAGTGCAACATCTACCAATAAATTGGAAATGAGCAAATTAGTTTAAGTTGCTATTATTCGAAAATTAGAGAACGAAACCTGATGGTTTTCTTTTATTATTTATCACAATATCTTGTGGAATTCTTTCGAGTATTTCGCCTATATAAACTGTATCGTTTATTATAGTGTTGTAGGGTATTCAACGGTCGGCCCCGCTCGACTGTAGCCTTTGCTTACTTGTTTTAGTTTAACTTAGCTGTAGGCTGTTTTAATGTTGTAGTTAATATAAGATTTTGGCCATGTTGGCTATTTAAACGTATGAAATAAATGAAATTAAATACAAATATTGGGATGTGTCTATTTTACAATCGTTTTGGTTATTCCAAATATTGACCCTTTGTAGAGTAGGTACCAGAAAAGGTGGTCCGATCCCATCTTCACACCAGATCATGCGTTACAAGAAATATTGGAATATGTGAAGTGTGTAATGTACTGGATGCTTATTCATATTTAATAATTATCAGAACCAGACTCCGATTGAAGCTAAAATACTTGATATATTGCGATATTTGAGGTTTGGTCATCGAATAATCTGATGCCCTTTTTATGATATATAGGGGCGGTACCAGACATTATCCATCTTCGAACTCGATCTAATTAAGCAGTGTGCAGTCAAAAAAGCGGGGTCTAAAGTGTAAAAATGTAGATTATTGCTTAAAAAACAACCTCATTGTTGGGACTTACAACACATTATAATTAAAAACCAGTAAAGAAAGTCTTAAAGTCGGGCGGGGCCGACTTTATGATGCCCTACAAGACTTTTCTAATGTAGTAGAGCTCCACATAACAATTAAAAGTTTTTATGGGAGAATTCAATCATACACGCTATGATTATAATTATAATTTAAAGTTCAAAGGACTAAATATGCCGAAGCATTTGTATCTTTTAAATTCGGACTTGTATTGCCCATTTGATATATATGGGAGCTATATCCAAATCTGAACCGATCTTGATAAAATTTGGAAAAGATATTTCTGAGCTGTATTTCATATTTTCCTGAATATCGTTGTTACGGGGTGCATATTACAGCTGTGGGTAACAAATATAACAAATCGAATGAACAATATATATGGTAGCTATAGCTATATCTGAACCGATCTTCAACAAATTTGACACACTAGCTTCTTGACTCAATTCGGTCGTATGTGCCGAATTTCATCCCATTTGGGCAAAAATTAGACGTTTGGTGCACAATAAAAAGTAAATCGAACGAAGTTATATATGGGAGACATATCCAAATCCGAACTGATCTCCATAAAATTTAGCAAAGGTATTTCTGAGCTGTATTTGATATATTTCCCCAAATATTGTTGTTACAGAGTGCATATTACGGATGCGGAGGACAAAAATAACAAATCGGATGAACAATATATATTAGAGCTATAGCTATATCTGAACCGATTTCGATACAATTTGGCATACTTATTTTCAGGCCTAATTTGGTTGTATGTGCAAAATTCCATACTATTCGGACTGATGTTACACGTTTGGTGCACAATAAAAGGCAAATCAGACGAAGATATATATGGGAGCTATATCTAAATTTTTATCTATTATTTCCAACTTCAATTGGGTTAGTCCTTGGCCCAAACAAATGATTTGTGCAAAATTTTATCTGGATCGGGTAATAAATGCGAACTGTACTTTGTTTACAAAAATACATGGACAGACGGACGGACAGACAGACGGACGGACATGCATAAATCGGCTCAGAATGTGATTATATACAGATCATCGAAAGGAACTATGGGTCTATCTCGTTTCCTCTTGTCTGTTACAAACAAATGGACAAAGACATAATCCCCTGACCACCTTGTGGTGTAGGGCATAAATATATAATTAGAATTGCAGTAAATGATTCATATCACAACGGGCATACATGAGTTATTCAAGTTATTCTGTTATATACCTTATTATTCTCCATATATTCTATTATCATTCACAATAGGTTACTTAGCTGTATTGTTAAACTGAAAATTTTAAGTCGCCTAAAAGTATGCTTTACAATTTTGCATTACAAACATGCAAACAAACTTTTAAGGGAGTTGTGAAAAAAACTTGAATACGAATATGTTTCCTTTTTAAGATATTTTTTGCAATTTCTCTCGCCGAAAAATTAGTTGTAAAGGTGATTTTTGTATCTTATTTCGGTATAATACAAATGCTCTTCTATTATATTTCTGAATTAAAAATTATGATAGCTTACAGGTTTTATGCTAGGAATTTGAGAATTCGTCCCAACATGGACAATAATCGGAAAACTTTCATCTTTCTAAAAATATATGTAAATGAATCTTATAATATGCACTTACCTCTAAATCTGGTCCTGGATATGATATTCGTTTTAATTTTTCAATTTCTTCTTTCAATTTTCGATTTTGTTCTTCGACTTTTTTGCGTTTTTCAATCTCTCTATCCAATTTCTTCTTCCATGTCTCATCATTTTCCACAATTATTTCCAGACAATGTTGCAAGGTTGTTAAAACACCAGCCGTTGTGGCACGAAATGTTATCGATTCGCCCTAAATAAAGGAGGAAAACACATAAATTGCTAGACAATAAAATGTTGCTTAATTTTAAGGTACCTTAAAATCAATAGCTTTTAGGCCATCACCCAAATCGAGGGGCTTATCCATGCCTTTATTGACATCGGCACAGGCATCAAAGTACCTGTAAATTGAAAGCAATGTGAAGAAAATGAATGTTACTTTGTGAGTGGGAGTCTTTGGATAATGGCAAAGAGTTTTTATGCCCTAGTAATTTTTAAAATTAAACTCTACTTCAAGGACAAAAAGTCGAAGAGAGTTTCATTTTAAAATATTTGGAAAAGGGTACGAAATAAATAAATTTCAAAAATTGCTAAGGAACTCAATACCTATTGTAATTTATTATTTTTTAATTAAGTTAAAAATTGTTAAAGAACCCTCTTTTAGGTTTTATGTTGCTATTTAAATCATTTTGAACATCCCCTACCTTTGCAATGTCTCTATTTGTCCAAACAGTATATCCTTAAATGTTTCAATTTCTCCAACTTTCTCCTTCAAATTCCGTTGAGTCTTTTTCAAACTGCTACCACTTGCCACGGACACTGTGTTGGATTGCAGGGACATTGTGCTGCCATGGCGTCGCAATGAAGTTGTATCTGTGCTGGTACTGTCCTCTTTGTACATACGCAGCACTTCCACCCAGTGCATTCGATCCTCTGGCGTATCGGCACGTAAACACCAGTTATTATAATTATTGACCACAACATCGAATCGAAGTTCATCGGACTCATGTGGCTGCAATGAAAGGGTTAAAAAGGATAAAGGATATAATTTAATTAACTGTAGTTTGGAATTACAAAATTGCAGTTATATTAAAGTATTTATTTACACGTAGATAAAAGTTAAAAAAAAAAAACATATTGTAGACTGGCGCCTTAATGTGATTTCTTGAAATTGTGCAAAAGGATGTGTTTTGATACAATAGCAAGATATAAGAAGATGTCCTGGGAAACTCGAAGTTTTGCATCATGACAGTAGCAGTTGGGGGCAAAAATAGTTGCCTTTTTGGGAATGATTTGGTTTAAGGATGCGCAGCTACACAAATTCGGCAACATTACTCGGAGGCCTTGGAAGAAATGAAAAAAAATGGGAAAAGGAGAGAAATAGAAGCGAGAAGCAAAGATTTATTGAGAGAAGGGTAGTCTGCTAAGCATGCGAATGGTTTTGACAAACTTGTAAAAAATGATGGCTGAGAAGAACGTCATAATTTCATCTTCTACCTGCCAAATAGCCTATGTTTCTTGCTGGATAACATGGGACATGTTCAAAGTAGATATTCAATCGTTTCTGCCTCTGCTTCTCCTTCACATAGTCTACAGTAGTCAGGAACACTGTTGTCCAGTCTTGAGGTCAGATATCTGATACTGCAGTGACGTGTTAGAATGGCCACCACGATTCTTAGTTCGCTACCACTAAGTGAAGGTTGTCCTTCTCCTCGAAAAGACGGGTCAGATGGCTTTAGATACCCTGGAACCGGATTCCATGTGCCATCTTCTTCCAGCTACTTCGATGAGAGATTCTTCGAAGCACCTAACGCAATAATTATTGGTGGGGTAACACCGGTATATCAACCGACTTAGATTCGTCTCGCGCTATGTCCTGGAATCCAAGAAAGCTCAATCAGTGTACGTGTTTTAAGGAGAGCTTTCTTGCAGTCAAGAGTGGCTCTCGATTAAATGGCACTTGACTTCATAGCTTTGAGGGCCGCTTGACTATCAACATATATAAAGGATGAGATGAAAAAAACTGCAATCAACTTCAGAGTGCTGTCATTTCTAAGTCACTCGCCCGAGTGGTCGTGAGATGAACATATCGCAATATTCCATTCGGCAAATATTGAAAAATTAGCTCGTGGTAAAGCCATTGAAATTGATTCAAAAGTGCAAGAACTTACACAGCAACAGATAGAAAATAGACTCAAAAGTGCTAAAGACGCGCCGCCCAGGAATGGTTACAAAATGAGGTTCCTCGCTTCATTTCCAGCGCACAATGGCCACCAAAATCTCCAGAATTTGAAAAGCAAGGATGGCACTAAAAATCAAGCAAGCGCTTCGCCGGGAATGGGCCAAAATATCGCAGAGCAACATTCGGGCTGCGTGTGACAGTTTCATTGCCGTTTGAAGGCCATAACTCGTGCCAAAGGTGACTAATTGGAACAAATCTAAACCTATTCTAGAATTTGATGCCATTCCCGACATTTTTTGCTTTCATTTAATAAAATTAAAAAAAGTGTAAAAATAATGGCGTTTAACTTTGTTGCAGTTTTTTTTATCTCACCCTGTATTCGTGGCTCCTGTTATGCTATTGTAGTGTTCTTTTACCATTTCGGCTGCGTTCTTGATTGTAAGAATCTCCACCTAAAAACCCCTACAATTGTCAATTATTGGGTAAGGGCATACGCCAGCCCTTTCTGGGAGCAGCGTCTTTTATGATTCACACATTTTTTTTTAAAAATCGCCTGAAATACTTTTTATCAGGCATAGTAGAACTTGCCACCCTGGGATAAAACCAAATGAGTCATTTACCTTTATTGGTGGATATGCCAAAATTTCGATCTTCAGTTACAATTCAAGAATAGGACCTGAAATTGTATTCAGTTCTGTTGCCATTAAAAAAAATTCAATATCCTGTCTCAAATTATTTGGAATCTCTTGTCTCATGGACATGGTTTAAACTATAATGCTGATATTGAATATAAATATTTACTTCATAAAACAATTGTTATTTTTTTATTGAGTACAGCAATTATTCAAAAATATACAGCGTCATTATCTCACCACAATTGTGAAATCTACCGTTCAATAATAAGATTCAATTAACCGCTATCAGCATTGTTAGAGTATAGTAAATTTATTGAAAATAGAACAAAAGAAGCTAATAGAAAATATTGGCAATAGTGAATTGTCAATAGTAATTTCTTTCAAGTTCACACCATTGTACTTGTTGTTATTAATAAGTATACAAGTAAAGTTATTAATAAGTAGTTTCTGTTCTGAACCTTTACACAATACAATGAGAATAGGTGTTATAAAAATCTACATTGCATTTGGTGTAAAATCTTTGAAGAGAATATAAATGAATATAGGTGTATATGTACTTTTTGTTGATTGGATTCGATTCAATTAACAATGACGTCACATATCTGTCTCCTCATTGCTGTTGGGGATTTTTTGTTGTCTTCTTCATTTTTATTATTTTTTCTTCCAATTAATGGGAGTTTACATTGTTATCACAGAAAGCACTGAGTAGACGACGCCACCGTCCATGTGATTCAACTCAAAACAAATGCAAGAACATTAGGTGGGATTAAGAAACTTTAGAATTGTTTTTTAAAAAAACAATTGTTGGCAATGAATGATTTTATTCAGGGCCATAAATGTTTATGATGTTTCAATTTTCTTTGAGATCTTGTGAAAACTTTGTATTTCTTGAAGCAAATATTTGATGCTTTGCTTAGCCCAAACACACCCACCAATTTTCAATGTCATACCAATTGAAAACATATAATTAAAAAAATATAAACATATAAAACATTCAGCCATTTAATTGGTCAGTAATGTGTATAAGAGTGTAGAGGTCAACACGGGCTGACTATTTTAGGCCATTAATTTAAACGATCATTGAAATTTATAAACTGACGTAACAGAATCTTATACTGTAGCAAATTCGAGGCATAAACGCTAAGATAGGCCCAGGGTGGACTCAGCAAAACTTAGTCCACAATTTGAAAAAAAAAAAATATTATTTAGGCAACCTGAAATCCTCTTACTGCAATTCTGCAAGATTTGGTAACTTAAGTGTCAAAGGCGCTGAATTATACTGTAATTTTGATTTGCTTTGCATAAAAATCCATCTCATCTAATGCCGAAAAAACAAAGATGACCAGTACAAGGTGAGATGAAAAACTGCAACAAAGTTAAACGCCATAATTTTTACATTTTTTTTAAATTTTATTGAATGAAAGTAAAAAATGTTGGAAATAGCATCAAAGTTTAGAATAACTGTAGGTTTGTTCGAATTGGTCACCTTTGGCACGAATTGTGGCCTTCAAATGGCCAATGAAACCGTCACACGCTGCCCGAATGTTGCTCTGCGGTATTTTGGCCCATTCCCGGCGAAGCGCTTGCTTGAGGCGATCGACACTTTGGTATTTTTTAGTGCCAACCTTGCTTTCCAAAATACTCCAGACACAATAGTCCAACGGATTGGTATCCGGAGATTTTGGTGGCCATTGTGCGCTGGAAATGAAGCGAGGAACCTCATTTTGTAACCATTCTTGGGTGTCAAGTGCTGAGTCCTGTTGGAATATACAAGGTCTGCGGTCAAAATGTTTGCGTGCCCAAGGCTTTATTTAATACACCCTCCAGAATATTTTCGCGATAATATTCGGCATTTATTCTGATTGAAACTGTTATGGCGGTCCACACCATCACCATGGCCGGCGCTTGAGTTCTGGTGGCCAACCGAAGGTGCACATTTTCAGCTGACTTCTTTGGCAAGTAAACACAATCGTTTTGTTTGTGGCTTTACAATCTGCTTGACAACGAATGTTTTCTCATCGGAGAAAACCACTTTCGGTCAAGCGAAGCAACTCTTCACCTCTTTTGAGTGTATTTTCTTTCTGTTGCACTTTCTGGAATCGGCTATTGCCGAATGGAATATTGCGATATGTTCAGCTCACGAGCTTTTTTTCGGCCACGACGACGCGAGTCGCTTCTTACTTTTCGAACCATTTCTGCTGATGTTGCTGTTTTCTTTCGTCTAATCCTTGATGTCGGGCTACGCTACCAGTATCACGGTAACGAGCGATTGTATTGTGCTCCAAATATAGCCACTTGTGGGTTTCCAGCCAAATATAAATAAATCACCCTATCACGCTTGAATTCCATCACGAATAACTTTTTTTCTGGAAAATTCTCACCAAAGTGCTATTGTACGCTTGTAAACAATATAATGAACTGTCACTGGACAATTGGCTTAGAAATGACAGCAGTCTGAAGTTGGTTGCGGTTTTTCATCTCACCCTGTAGATTTTATGTTTAAGGAGACTAATTGGCACATACCAATCTAGTTTTGCTAATCTCTAGTGACTCGTGTACATGGAAATTATAGAAGGCCTGATACAAAAGAGCACTCCGTCATACGATAATGGTTTAATCAGCACTGGTAAAAAATTTTGGGTTATCGACGTTTAAAATAGAGAGAATGGAGAGTTCAACAGTTTGCCTGATAAATGAAGTTAATAAACATTCAGTAATTTTTCAAGAATCTGAACACCTGCCCACAACGGCCTTAATGGGTAGATTGCCCAATGCAGAACATGTAAACCTCTGAACAAGTGCTGGTTATACTTGTCCTATAAAAGGCACTTTATACTATTAATCAATTCATACTATTCGAGAACGTCGAAAATACTACCCTACTGAACTGAAAGGACTCCTCCGTTTATATTCCAAAATTAAAAACAAAATCTAAAATTAAACTTATGTTTTCTTCATCTTTTGTGGAGATTATAAGAATGCTAGAAGTTGATATGTTGCTTGTAAAATCAAGTGTCCTTCATTATCCTCTGAACTTCTCATTAAAGGGGAACCGGCGTTTAACATGTTGAACTTTTATATGTACGTGTGTGGATTCGATGGTCAGCAAAGCAAAAAATAGAATCATTTTTAGGTACCATAAACATTTCAATGGCAAAATACATACAAGAAAGGAAATAAATAAAAACAGAAAGCAGTACGTCATCACTTTCATGTCAATTAAAACTGGCAGACAAACACTGTGTTGTCCATGAAGATAAACATCAGCACTAATGTATGGGGGCCATATTGCGGTTTCCCAAATGGCTCAAAACAACTACAACAGCAGCAACATTACCACCCTGCCTCCTAATTATATCGATACAATAACAGCAACAACAAAAACAATAATGACGTGAGGAATAACAACAAATTGGTCATCAAAGACAACAATCTATGCGGGTCAAAAGTCAGAACACATGATTCCAATTTAATTGAATTTGAAAATAAACCAACGGCAATGACGACAACAACAACAAAACAATTAAGAAACCTACTTACCATTTACACTGAGTGTAAATGGATATGTTTGATGTGTCACCACAAAACTTACCTTTATGGTTGCCCGACTTAGACTAATAGCACCACGGCAGCCAAAATCTGATTCTGATTCAGATTTGTAATATGACAGGGTACCATCTTTAAGGACAATATAACGCGGTTGCCAGCCATAAATGTAATTGGTCCATTTGCTGAGATATCCCCGCAATTCCACACTGCTATTGTCAATGAATTCCGGTTCGGAATCACTACTTGGCGGGTCATTGAGAACCATATTTGCTGCAGCTAAGGCTGGCGATGATGTTGCTGTAGTATTATTATTGTTAATTGTTGCTGTTGTTACCACCGTTTGGGGTGGGGCTGATATGCCACTTGAACTGCCACCATTCAGTTGGTTAGCATAATTCATTACTTGCGTCGCGTTGTTGTTCTATATTGTTTATTTACGTTTTTCCGTCTGCTGTTTGGTTGGCATTCGTCGTTCTAATAATAAGCAACAAGAGGTGGCAGCAGCAGCAGCAACAACAGCTGGCGACAAGCAAATCTGAGCACACTTTTGTTTTTAATACAAACAAAAACACCTTTCCAAATTCTTAGTCGTTTTATTTACATTAAACAAATACCGAGAAAAAATTAAAGGAATTCTACGGACGGCCACGTAATTTCTTCAACTGATTTTATTATAAATTTAATTCGACCACAACGGCCACTCAAGAGAGCATAAGCATTTGTTCTTGTTTTCAATTGGATTTTTGTTCTTTGGGCTTAACTCTAGTTTAGTAAAAACTCTTCAATTTTTTCGAAAATTTTTTCAGTGGTAGGTATTTTAACCATGATCCCGGGAAACTATTTTTTTCTTGGGGGACGGACCTGAGACCCCAGATTTTTGACCCGAAAGTCCGGGTTCAAGACCCCGACTAGACCCGAATCCACTTACCCGACATAGACAATATGGGTATCGTTGGAAAGCTTATGAAAATACCTATCCAACAAGTGGTCACATGATGGGGTAAGATGTTACGGTTCGGAAGTTATAGTCAAATTATCGATTTTTTGGACCCGGATTTTTTATAAAACCCCCAAAAAGTAAAAAAAGGGTCCATTATGGGGGACAACAAAATTGATGCCAAATTATAGCTGACACTTCTACCTTTCCAAAATGCTACAATTTGTGCTAATACCTTCACTGAGTCCAGAGATATGGGTCTTTCCATCCGCATAACCCGATTCTTACCAGTTCATTAAAACTATGTTTTCAATAAAAAAAGGTATATTTTGCGTAAGAATGAAATTCAGAAATCTTTGGTTCGCGTTAGCCGGTGTAGGACATACCCAGAAGAGAAAATCACAAGCCCCGGCCGAAGGCCGGCTACTTACAAAAGGTATCCAATTTAGAAAACTTTGGTTCGCGTTAGCCGGTGTGGGACATACCCAGAGGAGAAAATCTCAAGCCCCGGCCGAAGGCCGGCTATTTACAAAAAGTGTCAAATTTAGAAAACTTTGGTTCGCGTTAGCCGGTGTGGGACATACCCAGAGGAGAAAATCTCAAGCCCCGGCCGAAGGCCGGCTATATACAAAAAGTGTCAAATTTAGAAAACTTTGGTTCGCGTTAGCCGGTGTGGGACATACCCAGGGGAGAAAATCTCAAGCCCCGGCCGAAGGCCGGCTATTTACAAAAAGTGTTAAATTTAGAAAACTTTGGTTCGCGTTAGCCGGTGTGGGACATACCCAGAGGAGAAAATCTCAAGCCCCGGCCGAAGGCCGGCTATATACAAAAAGTGTCAAATTTAGAAAACTTTGGTTCGCGTTAGCCGGTGTGGGACATACCCAGAGGAGAAAATCTCAAGCCCCGGCCGAAGGCCGGCTACTTACAAAAGATATCCAATTTAGAAAACTTTGGTTCGCGTTAGCCGGAGTAGGACATACCCAGAGGAGAAAATCTCAAGCCCCGGCCAAAGGCCGGCTATTTACAAAAAGTGCCGAAATTATGAAACTTTGGTTCGCGTTAGCCGGAGTAGGACATACCCATAGGTGAAAATCTCAAGCCCCGGCCGAAGGCCGGCTATTTACAAAAAGTCCCAAATTTAGAAAACTTTTGTTATTCCGACGACTGCTACGCGAAATAAACACTTTTTTATTAAAAACATCATTTTAATGAACTGGTTAGAATCGGGTTAGGCGAATGGAAAGACCCATATCTCTGGACCCGAAAAAGGTATAAGCACAAATTGTAGCATTTTGGAAAGGTAAGAGTGTCAGCTATAATTTGGAAACAATTTTGTTGACCCCCATAATGGGCCCTTTTTTGACTTTTTGGGGTTTCATAAAAAATCCGGGTCCAAAAAATCGATAATTTGACTATAACTTCCGAACCATGACAACTTACCCCTTCATGTGACCACTTGTTGGATAGGTATTTCCATAAGCTTTCAATCGATACCCATATTGTCTATATCGGGTAAGTGGATCCGGGTCCAGGCGGGGTCTAGATCCCGGACTTTCGGGTCAAAAATCTGGGGTTCCGGGTCCGTCCCCCAAGAAAAAAATAGTTTCCCGGGATCAGGGTAAAAATACCTACCTCTGGAAAAAATTTCGAAAAAATCTAAGAGTTTTTACTAAACTAGAGTTGTTCCGTTCTTTGCACACTCACACGCCACAATCTCTACAATTAGCACAAAAACAATAAAAAACAAACTCTAATTTTTAATTAAATATACAGCTTATCCACTGTCACCGCCCGTGTTCAATTATTTGTTGGAGATATTTAATCACAATTTAGGCCACAATTTGCCATAGGCCATTACCCGAGTGACGACTAACTTGCAAATCAAGAACACTCTGCAATGAGACTCGCAAAGGCCTTGTGCGATATTCTACTGGCCTTTGTTATTGTTTTCGTGAAAGTAGTAATGCTTTGGCCGGAGAGTAATTTAGAAATTTTACGACAAATAGATTAGTTTTATGTTATTATGTAAATTGGCAATATTGCTTAATGACTTTATTAATTTATTGTTTATTTTTGAATAACAATGCAAAAGAACCTTACTAATTACCAACACAATATGAACCGATGAGTGTTATCAATCGATGTTGTCTTGTTTTAAAATAAGCTATCGATAGTATCGATTGTTAGTTTTCCATCGATAAACCAAACAATTGCTATGTTCCGGAGCTTAAAAATTTAAGGTGAGTGAAGAAAGTCTTTTTAGCTGGCTTCTTCGTAGAGGAACAAATGAGTTTTGGGTTGAAATAGTTCAATTTTAGCCTTCGCTCCTGTGTTCTTTTCCAAAGAAGCCAGCCGATGAGTTAAGACAGTCAAAAAACGTTTTTTAGATTTAGACCAGGCGAGTTTACTTGCGCCAATTTTATCGTTCTCTTTCGAACTGGCCTCTTACATTTATACAAGGCAATTTGTATTCAGAAATTTAAATTTTTCAACGTTAATACTTCTGTTATTGTCTTTTATATTTTAGTGTATGTATGTTTTTAGTAAGTTTCTCAAAAAATAATAAAAAAAAACGTTCCAAGCGAGTTATATAAATAGAATAACACATTAATAAGAAAACGATAAAAGTAAAATGTAGGATCTATTGTTTACGAATGAGACATAGGAAATACGCAATCAGCTGGAAGATTATTGAAAAAGAGCAGTGGAACTAAAGGGGGATTTTTAATATCTATAGGAAAGTTTATAATAAGAAAACACATTAAAATATAAGAAATATAGTTGCAATTTTACTTTTACTTACTTTTAAATTAATAGTACGGTCCATATAATATAAGGTTTGAATATAATAATTGCTTTCGTCTGTAAGCTGCAGTAAAACATATGGTACCGTCTTGTTGAAACCACGTCTCATGCAAGTCAAGCTCTTGCATTTTGGGCAAAAAATGTATATCACGGCATTGTTCACCATTTACAGTTAATTTACGATTCGCAGCATCTTTAAAGAAATACGGACCAAGTTTTTACTAGAATAATCAATTCCAGTGAATATAATTTGACGTATACGCTATTGAATTGACACTTGAGATCGAATGGATTTCGTAAATTTAAACGTACTTTTATTCGTTATATACATGGTAAAGTAAAAAGGTAAAGTAGAGCTACCTGCTGATTACATTTTTTTCTAAATGTGTCCGATTTCTACTAATTTTGTTTATGTATTTATTGTTTTGAAAAATAAAAAAAAAACAATATTTTCAAAATCAGCTATTGAAAGACGCGTACATTGTCGGACGAGCTTTGAAGCTATTCACCAGTTTTGCCATGGAATTGAAAGATTGAACTATTTAGATCATATTTTTGAAAGAAATTCAGGCATTTCATTCGTTTTCGCGCCTTTCAACTGATTTTAAAAATAAGTAAAAAAATATTAAAAGAAAAATAACACAACTTGTTTGCATGCAAATTTGACAGGAACCGGGCATAGCGTCAGGGCTGCATTTCTGCAGTTTTACAAAGCTGTTCTACCTCCTTATTGTACCATGGTCAATGAACATTAATCTCTTGCATTTGCAAAGCAAAATAAAAATTGTACTTCTTATTTTTTATATCAATTTTAAATTCGATTTTATTAGTTTGCAAATAAATAAATTACAATAAATATAATTTCATTAGTTAATTAATGAAAACATATAGAATAAACTTCACATCATCTTCTAAAAAATATTATATATATACAATTCGTTAAATTAATATTAAAAAAACAAAACTTATCTGCTATTAAGATGACTTTCAGAGAACACTCATTTGTGCAAAATAAACAAAATTTAAATTAATTCTAAGTTAACAACAAAAAGTTTGCAATAAATTAACAATTTTACTTTAGCTACACAAAACAAATTGAAGTGATTTAATAAATACAAATTTCCTATTTAATTTAAGTTATATAATTTTTACAATAGATATTGCCCCAGAGTCGTAGAATGTGTGATGGCTCTTTACATGGAATACAAACTACTGGATCGTTTCCTTTTCGCATAATCTTTAGGGATTTCATTATAATCGGGATTTTCTTCGTTATCAACTACCTGTTGATCCAATATATCTGAAGCTGACATTGTTTGTGGTAGTTGGGGCTTGGTGATTTCTTCGACTTCTTGTTCGTGATATTCGCCTTTGTGAGATTCTCTGAAAATGTGGAAAATTTGATTTCAAATATTTGACTGTTTGACATTTGTCGAAATTACCTGTATTTGTGGTTTTGTATGGCTTTAAAGATGCTTCTTGGACAATCCTTGTAGTAGGGGAAACATTCACCTGGTGCCACATGTCCTTCTCCAATTTCTTGGGCCTTTACATATTCTGGTATCAGATCAGAGAAGGGTGATCTAGTCACACTATTTAGATATAGAATATTAAATATTATTTCTTTTAAGGGGATTTTAACAGTAAAATTGTATTGAAGAGGTCAATCCTGAGTGACAATTTTTCGTAATTATGTATTAAATTAAAAGTAAAAAAGACTATTAATAATCTACTATAAAATTTTGCCCTCCCCAGTTTCCAAAACTGTCCTAGCTTCTAAAACAGTTTGCTAACATTTATCTACAGATTAGATTTTGTTTTGCTTCATGTGTCTCGCTCTCACTGAACATACCCTAAACATATTGCGTTGTGATGGCAACGACTTTCCTATTGGTAAACATAAAGTCGGTCGGGTTACCCTAAAATTTGTTACATCTGTTATAAATTTTTACTAAAAATGGCCTGTCGGGTGGGACATTTTGATAGTTCCTATAAATCATGTGTACACAGGGAAATAAAC